GTTTACTAAACAAAAGTGATATGCATGTTATTGTCCATGCAATCTCACGGGCAGTATCAGTCATGGGACCAACTCAGATAATCCTCGAATGAAAGGGATGGCCTTACAAAATAGCCTGAGATTTATGAACGCACAAATATTGGGATTGTTTGCTGACTGGTGTGCTTCAGTATGCTTTGAATCTTTGGAAGAGAGTTCGCCAACGGGTGATGCCGCTGAAACATATAATTAGTCTTGCATAAAAAACTTTTACGAGCATTGCAGTTTGCGGTTGCCGAAGATGAGAATTTGGCTTAAATTTCACCCTTTTTGTCAAATTTGATATTTGCGTCGACCGCGGTCAGTGGTTTTTATGCGCCAAATATCAGCTGTTTTCGCGATTGTAACACTTTCATTGATATGGGAGCCTATAACGTTAGTTGTTAACCGATATTTAAAAATTTCTCTCTTCCTTGTGGGGCCACTTCGGCAATAATACCCAAATTAGGAGGCATTAGAGTGTTTTTGATTTCACTCCGTAATTTTTGGAAAGAAAATATCCACTATGTAAATGTTATTTTATTTACATAATACGTATTATGGCGCAGTCGCATGCGAGCAGATTAGGTGGGCTTACTCATGAAATGCTAACCGAAATTTGGGAATGCGTTTTCGTTTTGAAAATATTAATTAAGTTCGGTTGTAAAACTAATCTTCATGCAGCATATTTCAATAATAATCCAGTTACCACGGCGTGCCGGATTTCGAATGAGCTTAATTTTGACTGCATGCAAAAACTATCCTCTGTAGAAATAACTTTTTAATTACCACGCAACTTTCTCATCTAATGTCAACGTCCTTGAAATTTAAATCATTTTTCATGAAAAACATGCGTAAAAAATTTAATTTGTTTACTTTATGGGTAGAAGATTACGTTTTTATTCAATTTTGTACTCGAAAGAAAGGTAAAAGTTGATTTCAAAAACGTTTCAAATCGTGGTACTCCTAATACCTAGAAATAACCCTTCATGAAACATCATGCATCTGCATTTACGAATATGGCTTGTAGAATTAACAACATTGCTTAAATCCACTGCTTAACTGTATGCATTCCATGTGGTCTCCTCTTTGTATCGTAGAAAAATGCATGGTTTGCCGTACGCGGAAAATATATGGCTTGTACATTTGAAACCCTGCATGCAAGCGTAACAGCAGGCCGGGTACAAAATTATTCGAAAATCAGAAAGTCATTTTCAAACCGTAGTATACTCTTTTATCGATTATAAAATCGGAAGTAGACGTGATGTCTACCAGATTAGTAAATGAATTTATATGCTTACGCATGATTTTCATGAAATATAATTAAAATTTCAAGGGCGTTGACAATCGATGAGAAAGTTGCATGGTAATTAAGCAGACATTTCTTCAAAGGATAATTTTTGCATGTAGTCGAACATAAGTTCATTCGAAAGTTGACACCCTGTGGTAACTGGATTTTTATAGAATTATGCTGTATCATGATACGTTTTACAATCCTACTTCATTAATCTTTTCGAGACGAGAACGCATTTCCAAATTTCGGTTAGCATTTCATGAGTTGGTCCACCTACTATATGTAAAGAGTACTCTGGGGCTTTTAGATTATTACAGTTTTTCGGATCGCGTTACGAGACACTATAGATGTCTTTTTGCATAAATGTCCATCACAAATTATTGAAGCGGGCTCTCTGGTCTGTATTCTCCACCGCTGACAGCGAGATCTACTGGTAGGTTGAATAACCAATGTTTGCCCGCTTCCATCGCATTTGGACACATTTGCGGACTGCGTGAAATACGGCTTTTCACGTTGTGTTGGGAGTTGTTAACATGCTGCTCTGCTTACAATCGACATGGATGCACTGGAAACTCAATGCCTGCAGAATTTATTTTTAAGTTTAACTCCAAATAATCATATCCTGACCCAGCTCTGGAGTTCGAATTCACCACCGCTACAACCGTTTGCTGCCCGTTAATGAGCATTTTAAATTCGTTTCCTGCACCTGTGAACAAAAAAGAATACTCATGTTTTAATCTAGATTGCTTTCAAATGATTCAACCTCTGCATTTTCAAAAGCTATTATATTTCATTAGTCCCTTTTCGTCGTCATTAGAATGATTCAAATGTGTGATTTTAATTTCCTATAGGACGAGAAAAGTGCCCGCACGATGAAGGTATATTTCGGATCCACACTATTGCCACGCACCTCATCAAAAAACTTGCATATCTTGTCGTGGCGGATGGAACTGATGAACTCGGTAAACCTTCCTACAACATCAAGCTCCACAGCAATGTGTCTGTTCACGACTGCAAGCCGCACTGGACCGCGATAGAAAGGCACTCCAGTGAATACTCCTGTAGTGCCTTGTGGCGTAACATTCCGCTGATACTGAATCAGGTAAATAGTTATTTTACGATGCAACGTAGATGTTAAATTGCTTGTCAACTTAGTCGAGAGTTTTCTAATATAATCCTGAAATCTACGTGATAATCTTCCTCCTGTTAAGGGAGGTTTAAAACATTTTGAGATAGCGGAGGTCCAATGTCGCTTTACGATGAAAGCTTCAAGCTGGAACACGGGGATGTGGGGCCCAAATGTTATAGGAATTTCGAACCTCCAGTGTCCCAACTTCATAATGACAATAAGTCAGTATCTGCATTGCTATGGAAGAAAGTTTCCTGCTCTGATGAATGCAAATGCAATAACGGAGGAGAAAGAGCTTATAGATTACGTGCTCCCGGAAAATGCATATTGTGCAACTTAGTCTATTTTACCGACTCAAAGTTGTCCTGACTGGGCAACATATGCGCTACAGTCTAAAATTCTGCTTTTTTGTTTGAATAAACTAAAAAAGCCGTTTTTTACACTTGACTTGTCAGTAGGTTAGGGTACATATCTGTCTTATCTGCCAGAGATGTCAACATAAAAGGAAATCGCCAATAATATGTATCAAGCGTTGTGCAAATGAGCATTAAAAGATGCGTAATAAGAAAACTTGACATTTTTTTCATGGACCTCTGTTGGGAAGTTCTCGGATTCCCGTAGATGAAACACTACGACTGCCAACCTCTTGACTGGAGCCTTTGTGTCAAACCAATTATCCGTAAGCCCCAGGTTAACCCTTGGGTTGCCATGCCATAACAGCCATAGCATTCATTGTTTGTCGCCCATGAACATGCACCCCGTGCGGTATGACGAACGCCGTTAAATAAGGTTTAAATTTTATTGTCCTATTGGCCACGATCAGAATTAATATAAACCACTTGCAAACCACATAGCCTGAGTTTCTTTTTTTATTATGCAAAGTCGGAATAGTTCGAAAAGGTCCGATATGGATCTTACAGGTTTTCAATGGAAGTAATAGGTTTCAGGATCTGCAAAACATATTTGATGGTGCGAAGTCATTGGCTCCTATAACTAATCGCTTATACAAATGGATATAGTCCAACAGCATATTTCGTAGAACGAGCAACGAATAATGACAAATTAAGAAAACAGTACAAAATATCGTGCCTTTCCAAAACGTTCTAAAAAATAGCAGCTCTTCAAAAATGGTTTGACACAAGATCGTTAATAACGCATTATATTTCAGGCATCTCAGGGCAGCGGGTGTTCCAGACAAAGGTTAACCGGCACATATTATGCAAATTCGATACGTTTGGACACGTCTCATGTAAAGTTACATATAATTGTAATCGGTTTAACTAAAAAAACTGAAATTCGCCATTTCATTGGACTACCGCGCTGCCACTAGCAACGGTGTTTCATATACACCGCATTTGGTTGTGGATACACATCGCTAAGAAGTGTGCCTTATCGATTTTCGTCGACCGCATCCTGCAGGCGAGTTTACGGTTTTGCAAAACACTGTAAGTGAGACTCTACAGTGTTCGGCTTTACCGAGACCATGCAGTTCTACAACAGTGGGGCCAGCAACAGACACCTCAGCCGTTCCGAACTTTGCGGAATATCTTCTGACCCTTGACGGTTCGTATAAATGTAACAATACAAGACATATTTAGACTGAAGGGCAACAACAAAGTTGCACACCCACGGCTAGGGTTAAATAAAGCGATAGCTGCACTCCACATTCCAGATAGGAGAGAATTTTGATTATGTTACTAGGTATGAGGCTTTTAGAGTCCAAACTAGCAGTTATGTCAATCATTAATCTATGTCAGACGATAAGTTTATTAATACTGAAATCCGGTACTCGTTATTGCTGACATCATACAGCAAAGTTTGAAAACAACGACTACTTCTATGGCGATCCGAACATACGCGCTTTTTTCTTTCGGCAAACTTCGAAATTAAAACTGAAATTTTATCACAGCAGTGTGCAACAGATATTTCTCATTGATGGCGTATGCAAAATATCTACAAGGATACCTAAATTCAACTGAAAACTGTTAAACCCAGGACCGCGTAATCGATCAATTTGGCGGCATTAAAAGGGTACAGTATTTTGACACACGCGCTTTCACATCTTACCGCAGGACGTAAATCAATGTAGCTACTTGGAATTCGCAACGATAAACCCAATATGTGCAGGTACATTTGAGGCACTTTGAAGGTTCAAACCTGAATTCAAAAGCGTTGCTACGATAGTGCCTAAAGTCTCGTCCTTATCAGACAGGCAAAAGGACTGCAAATTTGATTTTATGTGTGCGCGGACAGTGGATTTCTGTCTGTCAAAAATGAAGATGTCAAGTTTTGCCGTCAATTTACTCGAAAAGTCATGATGATAACTTACGCTTCTTTTCACACCTTTAAATGGTTTGCTTACTTTAATCACTCAATTCCAATGTGAATTATAGAAAGTTAAATAGCTCAAAGGAGCATTTGATGACCCATACCGAAAATACCCGAAATTCAGCAGTATTCATCAATGTGCCTTTACCCGTTCTGTGTGATAAAAATGGGAGACTGGCTGTCATACCACCAATATTGATCTTTATTTAAAATTTAATGCTCATCGCACAATCACGCCCTGGCGTAATGTCGAACTGAAACGAGTTCGTCCACACGTGTGGTCTAAAATTCAGACAAAACTATAATAAACAAAAACGTCAAAATCTAAATAGGAATAAACTGTCATGAAAAATACTTATCTGCTGCGGTAGCTGACAATCTTGTTGTTCGAAAACCCCAAAAAGCAGGCGAATCAAAAACTCACCACAGCACCTAATCCTATTTTTCCTAGAACGGTACCGTTGCCTCCGTTGTACATCGGTCTTCTGGAATACTATTTTTTCAAGTATCGTGTCCACGATTATATTAACAGAAAAAGCCGATACAACTGCCGAACTTGGCGTATGACCGGTTGAGATAGTACGGTTTATTATTATGGTCATTTGCCTTAGAGCAGGGATAATGACAGTTACCTCATTTAATCGAACTTGCGGTGACCTAGGACACAAATAATCACCTCTTAACGTGTATAATTCGGAAATCTTAGTATTCAAATAACTCGTGAAGGCATGCCAATGACACGAGTAAATGTCTTGTCTTGTTTTGGCGGGTTTAAATCTTATCTGACGTAGTTGATTTTATTTGAAAATAAATAATTTGGGATTTAAAGCCCAGAAGCTGCATTAACGTCTTTTATATGAACGTCAGCATTGGAACATTGTCTGAATAGCAAATGCATTAGACAAAATGTACGAGTGTCGTCAGTCTGCCAATGAGGTTAAACCAAAATAGTGATATATTTAATTATGCTTACAGAGTAGCAATGTTAACTGATGCAATTAAAATTTTAGCATTTTACGTAAAATAAAACATAGGTAGGCAGTGAAAACTAACAAACAAAATTGCGCACACTCAGTAGTCGGCAGACCAGTATCAAGATCCCACAGATTTAGACAAAATTGTATTACTGACAAAGACTATGGCGACTGAAATGGCCATTTCTGGCCTATCAGCCGTCGTCAGCCAGTCGTGCCTAACACTAAAATGTGTAAGACCTGGGGCTCGATCTCGTAGTTCGTTCGTCAGAAATCACGTGTCTAGAACCATCGGTGAGCGTCCCTTACCATCAGCCTAATGAAAAACACTGACCACAGAAAGGGAATGAGCGCCCATGTTGCTAACATTTGCAGGTTCAATCCTGAGCAGAACTCGTTCTTTGAACGCTAAACGCTCAATAACAGTGAAACTATTAACAGAATACAGTTCTGAAATAGAAATCAGGAGATGGACCGTCGACAGAAAATGGATAGAGCCATCTCGCCACACTGGCCGATTTACGAAAGGTATTGCGCTCTCAGGGGCAGGTTTGCTGTGTAAATGAACGCTCTTGCCTAGCTCTCCCTGTAGGTTTTGTCACAGCAACCCCTGACCGTGCAGTAAATGCAGACATAAGGCGATCCTCTTCAGAACGGAAAGGACGAACGGGCGCTTGCAACGCTTGGAATATTATCTACAGAAAGTAATTTAAGAGCCCAATATTGTGACACCCGTAGTGTCAGCCATTGCATAAACTCAGATGCTAGACGCCAAGGGTTGGATTATTTCGCACTGGCATTGTGTTCGGACGGAAATTAGTCTGGAAGTTCATTAAACATAGTCAATCCTTTGGACATTCCACTAAGCTTGACTAAATGCCCACATATTCACGTAAATGAACGCCCAATTACGAAGATTATGGCAACTACTACTACTACTTTCATCTAAGTTAACTTCGATATGCTTATAGGCAGAATCCGTACCATTTGGAGACAAAAGCATATACTTACCACTTTCATAGAATCACCCTCGAGCTCGCGGTCAACGTAGGTTATTTTATCTCCGGTGTCGACCTGTTTCAAAGTGTTTCCTTCCAACGTTATTATGGACTAAAAGAGAAGGATTTTACCATATTATTCTAAAGTAATTTGTTTTTAATTGATGTATGGCTGCTAACCTGGTACATTTCATAATCTCGACTTATGCATGGCCTACTTTATGCAGACGGAGACCACCGAATGTCAAAAATGGGGTTACAGTAAAAACGTTTCAGGAATGATTAAAAAATCGGAAGCCTATGCTCTACGTGGGTTTGAATTATAGTGAAATCAAGCTGACATACCACTTGTAAATTCTACAATATTCACAGTTGAATGAGCCGTGGCTTTTTAGAGAAAAATTATTTTATGCTGTTGCATGCTTGATAGCAATTATGATGATGGGGTGAGATTACAGTTGCCACCTGCAAACCAGCATAACAGCGGTGTTCTTTACAGCCTGTCGCAGTTCTAGACATACACTAGATGCGGATGCCCAACTAGCCTCCTCCCTTTATATGGCCAACCACAATGCACCGAGTTCAGTTTCCATATAGGCAATCTTTTTTACGATGTCGAACTGCACCATGGTCTTCCGCGCCACCAATAGTATGAACTACAAGTAGAGCATTCGTTTGTCTAACTTTAAAACCTTCTCTAATAAATCGTTAGTAGGTTTGCAACTTACTGAATTTCTTGGACTTTGGCGAAATATTGTCAATTTCACCTTAGTCGAATCAATAGGTATCCTAGTTTGAATCGTAGAGGTCATCCGGTAATTAGTAGCAAACAACTAGGTAGATAGATGCCGTACTTTATTAGCAAAAACAGACACGCGACTTTATTCAAAGCGTGTTAGCATGCATTGTTTAAAGAAAGTCTAATTTACTTTTATAATGGATACATTTAGGCATGGGCTTGAAAAGTAGCTTCATAAAATTTATGCCGTTTGCACCTGTAAAAACTGATTTTAAAGAGAGTTATGCGACGATGATAGTCTTACAATAAGGTCCCAATCCAGATAACTAATAAAATCCATATTTATTATCTGTGTCATTGACTTTTCAAAAACAGCACATAATCGTGATGCCGAAAGCCTTTGTTAAGCATTTTGAAGTGGGAAAAAACATCGCAGTTCCATTAACTTAAGGTAAAATTGCCTTCGACAAGGACATGAAAGCACCCTTTCACAAAAATAGTCAACCTAACTCGACAGTAACCTGGACGATCGGAACAACCAAACCAGACTCACAATGTTTCTCTACGACCGCCACTTTTTTGTACATCATTCAAAACTCCATTGCAGTCGATCAACACATCAATAAAAAACATCCGATATCATATGCCTATCACCTCCATCGATGGTGCATCATGACACATAAAGTCGCAGTCTCACACGCGCAAATGCTGAAATTAAGTCTTTAGAGAGCTCCTATTTCACTGCATGGAATTAGTCTTACCTTTACATGTCGGCCATCCATCGTGGTCAAGTCAAACTCTTCATTCAACTTGAAGACAAACTCGTGCGTCTTGAACGTGCTGCTCATCTTCAGACTGTATCCGTCACCCGCAGGCGCGATTATCATTGTCGGCTTGAGGGTCTTGGCCGCCGTCCTCTGAGCCAGATTGAAACCCAGTCGCTGGGCGATTTCGTCGAATCCCTCACTGTCGGTTAACTTCCAGCTTCCGCAGAAGGCGTCCATGTTAGTTAACGGTTATGGCAAGATGTAGAGACTGTGCGGCGTCTGGTGCATTTGACATAAGTCGTATAATTTATATACTTAAATGCCGCCTGATGACATTGGTTAGGCGGCATATTCGCGGAGCAAGAGTGCGTTAAAACTCCCCCACTCCCCTCCCCCTAGCGAACTGCCGTGAGATTGGTAGTTTTAACAGCCTGTCGCAGTTCAGGCGGCCATTCAAAGTGCACAACAATGCTAATCTATTGAAACGAACTTACCAGTACCGTGCAGCGCACTGTTTGCATGGCGGCGTAAGAGGCCGGGAGCAGTGCATAGGACATACGCCGGGCTCAAGGTATGCGGTCACTACCAATCCTAGCGCTTTGAACACGCATTAAGGCGACATTTTAGCCGTCGGAGTCCGCCCGCCCTAACAAATTCATTTTCTTCTCTTGTTAGTTGGGGGTTGCTACGGAAGACCTAGACTTTCCAGTACTGCTTCAGATTTCGATACGGCCAAATGAAAAACGGATAACACATGCAGTGTTGTATAATTTTGGAATGCTCGCACACTGGGCAAAAATTAATTTCGACACTAAAGTTCGCACTCAGTAAACGAGGAGTATCAATGTTGGTCTAAGAGCAGTGTCATTGAAATCCTCACCGTCCGTCAGCTTCCAGCTTCCGCAGACGGCGTCCAGGTTGGATAGTGGTTATTACTAGAGGTAGAGACTGTGTGGCGTTTGGCGCACACCGCGAATGTCTTACAAAATTATATACTAAGATGCCGCCTTCTGACCTTGGTGAGGCGGCAAATTACGCGGAGCTATAGTGCATTCGCCCTCCCCGCTCACCGAAATTCTATGAGAACGGAATAACGCATGTTTAATGTGTTGAAATAGGACGAAGTGGGATATTTCGATATTCCTCAGCAACCACCCGGATTAAACCTGTTTTGATTGGGTTCATGTCTCAGGCAGCAGTACTGAGGTTGTTGGACACATGTGCGCGTGCGACTTCATGGTGTATTTCATCGTCCATGTTGACATGCATCACTTTGTCCGCTCAATGAGCGCTAGCAGTTTTCAGGTCACTGATTGCACCTCCAATTCCGAACTATAAAAATTATAGATTAATTACTTTTAAGTTCCGGTTACCGGTTTCTTGTTATGGAGAAAAATTACAGACAGACGGTCGCAGTTCTGAGTCATACGTTGGACATCCCCCTGCCTCCCCGTCAATTTGGTCATTAAAAGTGCAAAACAATGTTAATCTTTTGTAAGGCAACTACCGGTACCGTGCGGTACACTCTCTGCATTGCGGCATAAGCGGCCGAAAGTAGTGCAAAGGACATACGCCGGGCTCAAGGTATGCGGTCACTGCCAATCCTATCGCTGTGAACACGCATTAAGGCGACATTTTAGCCGTCGGAGTCCGCCCGCCCTAACAAATTCATTTCCTTCTCTTGTTAGTTGGGAGTGGCTACGGAGGGCCTAGACTTTCCAGTACTGCTTCAGATGTCGATACGGCCAAAGGAAAAACGGATAACACATGCAGTGTTGTATAATTTTGGAAAGCTCTCACACTGGGCAAAAATTAATTTCGACAATAAAGCTCGCAATCAGTAAACGAGAAGCATCAATTTTGGTCGAAGAGCAGTGTCATTGAAGATGAAAACATGAGTTGAGGTTTTAAGCTGGGATTTGACATCAATCGTCTAACTCATGTGTCTAAAACTGCACTTAATACTTATCAAAAACAGGCTTGGTTTAGCGGCTATTACGCGTTAGTTTGGCACCCGGACATACATTTATGCCCCCACCCCTTTCTTTTTCCATTCAGAGTGCACAAAAGTGTTGATCTTTCAGAGCAGGCGTGTCCGTAAAGTGCAAAATATCGCCGCATCTTAGCATCAAGGGTTGGCAGTAGCGACAAGGATAATGCATGCGGTCACCGATTAGAGTATTACAATAAGAATGCATTGGTGGCGCACGCTAATATATCTCTCTGGAACGCGCAGTCCTTCTTGTACTCTCTCAATTACATATTGTTTACATTTATGCCAAATTGCCCTTCTTCCTTGCATATTTTAAGGACTGTTTGTGATGTCCACTTAATGGTTTTTTGAATGCGGAACCGATAAAAAATGTATGATTTTGAACCACTGTATGCAAATGCGATGGCAACTCGAATTTAAATATGTTTGTGAATTATTACACACTTTGAAGCTAAAAGAGACCCTTTTCGACAAAATTTTAAAGTGACCTAATGTGCTACCGAATGACTACAAGACAGAATGCCCGCATGCGTGTTAAGAGTTGTAGCGCATCAAGCCCCAGCGGGCAAAGGAGTACATTTGACAGGTGCGATTGTTACAAGCGGCCCGTATATAGTTCATGTAAATGTCGGCATCCAGGAGTGGTGGTGAACTGGTAACATAATTCAGTCAATATTACTACTCCCGCTGACATGACTCTGCCCAATCGAATGCTCGATTAAGTACTTCGGTTCACATTTCCTGAGATGTAAAAGTAACTGTAGGTAAAGTTAAGACGTACAATATGTTTGTAATCGTCTCTGTTGGAATTGACCGTAAAAAAGTTCGTATTTGGTAAATTCCTACATGCAGTATGTTATTGCTGTCAAAGACTGCCGTCACTGCCAAGCTTATCTCTGTGAGTGCTCATCAAGGAGACCTGTTGGCCGTCGATTTTATGAAATATTTCTGCCCGAATTAGCGGTCGAAGCCAGTAGAGCAAATTAACTTTCTTCTTTCCCTTTAGTCAAACGGGGCTTCGGAACGGTTAAATTTTCGAGTACTGCTTTAGATGTCGAATACAGCTAATAAAGCGTCGGATAACGATTGCAATGTTGTATAATTCTGAAATGCTTCGCATGGCCAAAAAAGAATTGGCCTGCTTAATGCGCAAAACTTAGCCTCGATAGTATAGTTCGCATTCGGTAAACAAGGAGCACCAATGCTGGTCGATGAATGAGAACAAGAACAAGTGTTTGCCCTTTAAACTGGGGTTCGACATCAATCGACAAAATCATGTGTCTAAACTCGCACGTAATAAATATCTTGAACCGGCTTTTAGTATATCGTTTACTACGTTCTAGCATAGTCAACAACAGCATAAGCTGTGGATCTTATGTTCGTATTTTGTAACTTTCATAAATGCCAAGGAAATATCCGGGTCTAATGGGTACTGTTGAAACAATCGTGAAAACGGTGGAAATAATTTTAATTTTGCCATGTAAGTCAAATAAGCGGATAAAGTTAAATGGAGTTTCATTACTTTCCACGAAATCGTCATGCCGAATCAGGTCCTGTATACAGATATCAGTGTTTTAGACAGTATTAAATCGAAGTATTAAATCGAAGGCCTTAGCGTTCTGAGACTATCCGTCGTGTTTGTATGTGACCAGGCTTGGATAATGGAGTTTGCAGACGGTTACTTCAGTGATAGTGGATCTCTTCGAGTCAGCCCGAAAGTTAAAGAAAATATAAGGAGCTCTGTGACGGACATTTCTTAGGCATTAATGTTATTTTTCAATATTATTTTGGCATTCATTTGTCAACCCAAAGCAGTAGAACGTTATTAGTAAATTCTGAACTCCAAAACTGATCGCACACTAATATCCAGACAATGCCCGATCGCCCTATATTTTATGCATTTTCTTCAAGATGCATACATATAGAAATTGCTTAGGGACAAAAAACTTTCGGATATATTTTTTGTAAATACTGTCATTTTTGGAAAGGCTATTTATAGAGACGGGAGAGGCTGCTCGAATGGACGAGCTATTTAACTTTAACAGACTTCATGAAAACTGAAATGCGGTAGATGTACTATCTCATAAAAAGTTGACTTTGGAAAGTGATTTAGATCCTTAAAGATGATTTACACACGATTGTTATGGTAATTATCCTGTAGTATAACCACATTGTATTCTAATCCCTCCAGGATATCGGCTTTTAAAGAAACTTGTTTTTGGTTGCCAGTAAATTTAAACCTTTGTAAAAAAATTCCTTTTTCGGCGTTATTAAATTTCCCCGGTGAATTTCAATGTCCCGACAAATTCAGTTATCTTAAACGCAAAAGACACACAAAAATATTCTCTCCTGCGTTCATTTGGATATCATTATCTGGGAGCTGTATGCTCGCATCCAGCCTCGATATTGCATCGGCAGTTCTTCAACGAGGATGGGTTCGTGTGAGACTGTAAAGGCTGAGGAGGGGTGTCCTTGCTGGGGACGAGATCGGGGGATGTTAAACAAAGTCAAAAATGTACTGGAATCGCTCATCCCAGAACCTGACATTCGACATTTTGTGACCAGTAGTCTCCGTGCACTGCTTAAACGGCACTACTCAGGGCCGATAGTTTGCCCCTAACACCACGGATAGTGTGGTAGATTTTTGAGTGTGCCTGGGGAGGGAGTTGGTTCATGGGATTTTTTTTTACAAAGCGTCCAAGCTGGAATTAGGACATTGGACAGGCAACAGATATTTGCAGGGGCGTTCGCAAGTTTCGACATTCAACACCAAAGGATTGCTACCACCTACTAGGTTCAGCTCATACATCAAGGTTGTGAAACGCGTCGGATCCCGCAGACGCCTTGGGGCTTGAAATGGACATTGCATGAGTTTACTTCATGGCGGCATATGGGCAGTTTACCAAGAGAAGCTCGGACTGTTGAATCGGTGTTGTTTCCAGCGCTTTGACTGAAGAATCTAGTAAAACCGCGACGGTAAGAAGTTGACTCACTTAGCGGCGGTTAACGATCGCCATGTTAGAATGGCATTGGTTGACCATGTTTTATAAGGCAGCCGGTGCGTCCGACCTCAACAAGCTGTCATTTCCGGTTTGTAACTGGCTATTCGCCAGAAACGAGAGGCCGCTCATGTCTGCAGCTTACAGCCGCCGAAGGTCGTTCCCCTATCCGCCAGCGGTAAACGCACCAAATTGCCAGCAGCTAGGCTAACGGGTTAAGGATTCCTCCGGTGGCGGATTCATGT